AAGGAGGACCTTGGAGGCGGAGTCTGGAGGCGGAGTCACTGGAATTAAGGAGGCGTCGCTGAACCTATTTTGCGTTAGGCAGCGTTCAGACTTCGCGACGGCAGCGCTTCGGTCGCGCGTTCGACGCGATCGATGCAGTAGAAAGCATGCGCATCGATCGCGTCGAACGCGCGACCGAAAAGCTGCCGTCGCGAAGTCTGAACGCTGCCTTATAGCGCCCCTCCCTTACAATTTTTTGCCGCGAAACCGGTACAGGATTGTTCGTCGCGGACCACATTACCCTCCCAGCGCGCGGCGCATTTCTGAGCTGCCGTATTCTGTGCAGGCGACCGGACCCTTAAGTCGTGTTCGTACTTCGCCCCGCGGCATTGACAGAACGAGGGTCAGCAAGAACGGTTGATTTCCGTATCGCCTACGACCCCATCGCTTCCCAAGGTTCAAGGAAGGGAAGTCGGGTGAACCCCAAAAAGTTTGATGACCTCGCATACTGTTTTACGTTGAAGGACCACATAAGCGACAAAGAGGGGAGGGGGGTCAAGCTATACGGTTTTTTCTGTCTGGGCAATTATGAATGTTTCCTCTTAACTGTGTTCAACGTTCCGGCATTGCATGTCTCCACGTCTCCCACGGCCGCCGTCTTTAACGGAAAAATTACAATTGGCGCAGTGTAGGCGGTGCTGTGGTGTAGACGAGAGCAGAGAGTCGCACCCGAGACCACTCTCTGAAGGACGGGGTTGTATCGACTAGACATCCGAGTGGCTATCGTACGTTTTTTGCTATTTTCCCAAATCTAACAGAAGGGTTAATAGAGAGGGTTCTGAATTGTGACTGGCATCACTGGCAGGAGAATCTCATAAAACATAAGCGCGCACATCTTGTCCCACATTAAAGGGTAAATCAATGTTCTGATGGGCACTAAATTCGTGAAAGGACAGTATTGAATTACATTGTAGCTCCATTTCTCCGAATAGTTCCAGTTTTCGGAAAGCCAGTAAGGGACTGCCTGTGTGGAAACAGCTGGCAGGTAGAGATTCGCGTTCTTACTCAGAGGGCACGGTTATACGGCATTCTTTAAGGGATTGGCTGGATGCACCAAGAATCTCGCCATCAGAAAGCTACAAACCAACGGTCCGTAAAACCGAGGCGCGACGCAACTGCTGCACAGACTAGTTATGTAGTTTAGCACTTGATGATAATGTGTCGCGGGCCAATGACGGCCACGTGCTGCGCGCCAAGGCCTCCGTTGTGGCCGTGTAACCATACCGGTGGTGTAGAATACAGTCATATCCACAGCTTACCTTAGTTCCCGACACCTCGTGGTGTCGCGGCGAAGGGTAGTCGCGTTTGGCGGATGGAAATGTGTGAAATAAGAAGGAGCAAGTGGGGGGGTTGGGGGCACGAGAAGATAAGATCGCCGAGACACTACTGGTAAAGTTGCCGGTGGGGGGATGCGGCGACATTACGGCGAGCGCGATACACCAGTCATAGTTGTACTCCGGCTCCTTCTACGCTAGACCCGCCAGCTCAACGACATAATGATGCAAGTATCCCCGCTCTATCTGAGTCAGAAACAACAATGAGTATTTTAAAGATCTGTATATCCACTGCGGACGGTTTGGCGTGTCAGGCATATGGGTTGTGAATCGCCCGCTCAAGTCGCGGTTCACGAGCGGGTTGCGGCACGCGACAAAAAAGCTAGAAAACAGTGATACAATCATATCCTTTGCTCGCTTCAGCAACTGGTTGGGAACGGATTTGGCACCGCGCCAAACTCATCTCGCCTGACACGCCCAACCGTCCGCAAATCGAACTCACCACATTACTCCCCTCTGACAAACGTTTTAGGAACCACTGTCTGCAGTAGTCAAGGGAGTGATTCGTGCTAATGAATCTGCCACCAGGCAGCTTTTTCGTCTGTCTGAATCCTGCAGTTTTTTTATATATTTAGTCAGACCACGATATCATGTTGATGGGCCCAATGGAGCTTGACTCCAAAGAGCTAGCAGCATACATCAAGGCCTACAGTAATTATAGGTTCCCATCTGTGTACAACTCCCATTCTCGACAACGAAAACACCTGTGAATAATTTAGTGCTCCTAAAATATAAATGTTTTCAACGAACTCCCAAGTTATTCATAGAAAGCAGCAAAACAGGTGAGAGTATCTGTTGGCTGTCAACAAGGCGTCACGACTGCTTCTCACGGTGGCTTTTGTTTTTCGTCGAACGAGCACCGCTCATGGTATATTAAGTGTGGCTTCAGGTGGTTGCAACCAACCAGGTTGATCACCCTTTCCGGGATGAATTTAGCTAGACGTGGCATGGTAATGTTGTGTGAGGACCACAAAGGCCAACATATGTCAGCGCTTTTTTGTTTATATTCCACCAGTTCGTTGCCAAATTACGCAGCTCTGTTCTGGCATGACCCATGCTGCACATCCACGCCGAAAAAAAATCTGGAAATGTGGCCATTAATCCGTATTAATAATTATAAATAGAGGGCGAGGTCGGTGTGGTGGTAAATGGCAAGGTTACTCTGATATAGGCTAGTTTCGGGGGGGGGGGTCATATCCAGACTGTCACTCAAACTCAGTGGCATCAATTCAAGCATGTCCGCTTTTCTCCAAGATGGTAGATTTGGTACCTAAGAGTTCATTTGACAGAGAGGAAAATTAACAGAGTTTATTGCATCTTGATCGTTGACCGCAGCGGCCCATACACACACACAAGCCAACTGGTCGAGCCGCACGTGCCTTCAGGTAATTCACTAACAGTTTTGAAATAGGATAGATACACGCACCGACCTTATCTCCTGAGCCAGAGTAGGCGTGCATTTGGCATAGCACGATACTGGGTTCTTTATGGAGATTCACACTTGGACCCAACTGTCATCTTTTCCGGGTTGACAGAGTCAGGTAACACGTTCATGTAAGAATGAAAAATATGCTCACCAGTAAGCATGGACACCTTCAAAGTAGTTAAAACATGGCGGCCACAGTTCCGTACTGCCGTCTCAGGATGTGTAGACTTGGCCTCCAAACGGGTGATCGACGACGACGACTTTTCTAATCCCTTGCACTTATATTAATCCCCTACCCATCCAGTTCACTTGCGAGAAACGATCTAATGAGTAAGCTGATCTTATTGTCAGATGACTCCTCTTATCATCGCGCATACAGCCTCGTTCGCTGCGGATGCTGGGGCGTGTCAGGGGCTAGTTATGGCGCGTGACTCGTATTCCTTTCAACTCGATGTCTTGCCGGCTTCCATGTCTGGTGGACGGGCTTCACGCGCCACGTGCAGACTCGCCCCTCCCTTCCTTGACAATACGCGACATAATCCAAACAAGCATTCTGCTGTCCACATTTGAGGCGAAAATGGACGTTTTAAACAAGACATGCAAATCCCTGAGATGCGAATAAACGCGCTGCGTGCTTCATCGAACTCGGCGGCATCTGTATTAGGGGATAACTATATTGGGACCAGCTACACTGTCGTTGTAAACATCACATGATGATAGCTGTGGCAAATTGAACGTACGCCGAATATTTAATCATCGAGCAGGTTCAGGAAAACGGAATATCCAGGCCTATATTCTTGCCTTCTAGAGATATGGAGTCACCTAACCCACAGTCTTGGTTCCTTGCGGATATATGGCATGCTACGGAGAGAGGGCTAGCACGCTAGAACATCGAGACGTCAGAACTCTCTCCAGTAACTGTGGAGCTGGCTGGCAGGCAACCACAATTGCTTAATAATTGGCTGGCGCCGCTCCAGACGCAGCCCCTGACACGCCCGCGTCTGCTGCGAGCACGACCGCTGCATTGGAGTGGTGACGGCTGTGGGGTTGACAATGAAGAGAGGCGGAAACTGAGAGAAAAAGAGTCAGCACGAGAGTACGCGGCTTTCGCCGGGGCGCCCTTTTTACTCTACTATATGAACCACACTCAACCATTCTTTAAGATAACTACCTCCTGAACTCTCAGAATTACAGTAATAAGGATATATCGCACTTTCATTGACGATTTCTGAAAAACCCCAACAAGGTAGACAAGTAAAAAACTACCCAAAATCACTTCTCAACATAAATATAGTGACAAACAATAGACAATATTGCACAGCCAATTGCCAAAAAATGTCAGTAATCTCAGTACTTAGGAGAAGTCTCGGTCGATCTCTTCAGGAAAGTGCTGGCCATCGTAAAGCGAATGCGACCATCGATGCGTTACCGGTTCGAAGCTGAAATCTCGAAGCATCCATGGAAAAAGTCAGAGAAAAAATTAAAAAAAATAGCCTCGCATACATGGCACAGCGTTAGGATGGGTGAAATGGCGGTGAAATTACGATCTTACCCATAAATTGCTTCTTCGACCCCTCTCACAGCCTACAGTCGGACAGTGAGGCGGTTAGAGGGGGAGCCGATTTTCTCACCTGCAGTTGCGTTTTCTGCAGTGCGATACTGGGACGGGGCAGCTACACATTTCCTCGCGAGATCGAAACCGATCCGGCCATGAAATTGTGCTTCTCCCAGACGTCAGACATCATGGTGCCACACCCCCCTCCTGCTCCACTATCGCTGTGACTCATTGCGGTTAATATTAAGTGCAATTTATAGCTCAAAAAGTTATATGTACTTACGTCCATCGATTTGGTTGACCAAAATGCGGTATAGTTTCCGCAAGTGGTGTGTCTGTCCAGTCGAACACAGGCGTTGGATCGTGAGTTGGTCCGGCGATAGCAGTGAACGCCAACGACTCTATCAATTCAGAGTTAGTTACCTAAAGTCTTTCTTTTATTTCAGCGAATATTTCCATTCGAGATTCCTTTGAAGTCAAACTTCACCTTCATGTCAGTAGAACCGTGATCGTGAAATCCGAAATCCGAGCGCTGGGAACGCGCATACGCTACCGTTCGCCCGGGTTGAATCAATTCTACAGGATATCCGCGATTCTCACGAGTACGGTGGATCGCCACTCACATCCGCGCCAACGGTTCCTCGGCTTAATTATTCGAATGATCTGAAAAAAAACTGGATTCTGCAATCATTAGCTGATTCCATAGCTAGTTTCGGTGCTATGCCAGAATCTTGTCGAAGAACCGTTCAATGTTTTTTCAGGTGGTGAGGATGGGGGCCTCGAGTTGATTCCGCAGGAATCAATCGAGGCCCCCCTTCCTCACCACTCATTGAACGGTTCTTGGACAAGATTCTAGCATAGCACCGAAACCCATGCACCGCTGACACGCCCCGTACGACTTCAGTGGTAACAACCGTAAGTGTGCTGTGGGCGTCACCTTCCCTTACTTCACCCCCACCCACGCAATTCATCAGAATTTTAAAAATGACTCACCTCATCAGTTGGATCATGGTGTCCATATCGACGACAGAACCCTGATCCCTATGGAAAATTAACGCCCGTGGGGTTTTGTCGTAGCTGAAATGCCATCATTTTGAGCTCACATTCTCGGACAAAGTCAGTTTTCATACCCATTAGCCAGCTCTATTCACCAATGTCAAGAAATCTCAACCTTTCAAGCATTCTAGAAGCTTTTCATGACTAGTTACCCACCTGTACCAGTCACCGAACTTCCTCACCATTCTATCACTCTCTGACCACTTGAAGATTTTCGGGAAATAGCTGAAATAAAGAGTTAAATGAACAGGAGTAGTTATGGTCCCCAAATGGTGGAGCTGGAGCACCTATGAAGCAGATAGGCGGGACCATAACCACTGCAACTCGCCATCAGCATGCTCTGACCCTACCAAATCGGAAGGAGAGAGCGCAGAACACGTAAAGACACTATGGTTGCTGCGTCTCCACCCATCTTTATCTTATGAATATGCCTTGAGTTGCTGCCTTCTGCTGCCCATCTTGATGTTCAAGTAGTAAGAAACCCAAGGCGGAACAATTTTGGACCATGAAAAACTATGTCAGTGTAGGCAGGTCACAACCAAATAGAAACCAACCTTCCGCGACATGACTGCCGCCGCAGCAACTCCCTCCGTCCCAATAAAGGGAATGTTCAGGATTAGTCCGAAAGAGGGAAGAACGGGTTACAATGTCTTCTCTCAAAAAACAACTCACCCAAGCGACGAGTGTGCGAGGGTGCATTCAGAAAAATCAAGTCAAAGTGAATCAACTAACGGGGTATTGTAGCTTGGCCAGTAGGTATTCCGCAAGAGAACGTGAGTCAAATCAGCATGTGCGGTATGATTCCTGAAAGAAAATAAATATTTCGTTAATGAAAGAACAAGCAAATCCAATAAAAATCAGTACGGTAGCTGCTCGAGCACATGAAGAAGTCCATGTGATGGATGATCGAGACGGCCTTTTCTGAACACCTTGTAGTCCAAAATGTTCCATTGATTGTTATAGGTGCCAGAGTTGAACTTTGAGAAAGTCTTTGCCCATTGGATACCCGTCGATGAAGTGCACGAATGAGCAACCTGTGTAAAAGCTCTTTGATTACGCTTTCAAATGAATTTGCGTACCGGTTTGCTTGGTTTGCTTCCAGCAGGCTGTCAGGAAGGCTGGTGAATTTTGTGCTCGCTTGGCGACGACCAAACTGCACAGGGTTGTCAATCCGTATCGGCAGAAGGGGAAAACTCAAGGGACAAAATTGCTAGTTTTGGACGACTTCGAAGGGATAAAAGGATAAAGGATAAAGTCTTCGCCGTTGATCAATCCCTTTGTGGGATGCGGCACGCATTCTACTTCCATTCAGAATCGTAGTGGGTTATTGAATGCGATGTGGCCTATACAATGACTTGCGGTGGCCAGCCGATGTACAAGTCAGTGTTTTATCCTCCCAGACGAATCTGTACCAATTCACCGTCCCCGGAGGGTAGAAGGCTTGGTTGGCCTGGGCGGGAGTCGACCCGGGATTCGAACCCGGGACCGCGCGAATGGTGAGCGCCCCACTTGTCACTACACCATCCCCGTTCGAAGGTTATTCTCTAAATTTCGTGGGGTCATAAGGGCATAACGAAGTGCGATGGCCGAAGAAGGCTGCAGTCTGCTCGCCACGGACGCTGGGACATTTCGAAGTCGGGGGGGGGGGGGCCAGAGCACCGCCATGCCGTTGGCGATGATCACAACGGGCGGGGTTGTGTTTGACGGTCGAGGAGGAGGATCGATATTTGGGTCAGAGAAAGTTTTTTTATTAGTTGATTTTTCTGCCACTGTTTCACGCGGCGCCTAAGAAAGCGAGGTCGTATCTTCGTCATTGTTGGAGAGGTGATGCCATAGAACTAGACTACTATTTCCGAACGGTTTGAAAATGATAGTGAATCCTGTCGACCATTTCCCCCCTCCCGCTCCCGCTTGACAGCAACTGGGCAAAAAACCACTAATTTTTCGGAAACTTTCCGGAAAAACTGGTAGGTAGGGAGGTTAGGGAAAACTTTGAGAAATTTTCCTGTTTCACTTGGGTATCCCCTCTACGGAAAATTCTTGGCTTAAAAACTGGAAATTTTTCGAGAAAAAAATGGAAAAAGTGGTAGGAATTTGGGAAAATCTAGTAAAGGTAGGCAGCATGGGAGGGGGGGGTCGTTCTAGGAAATGATTACAACCAGGCCAGCCCGTTCTACACCAACCAACTGTGGTCACCTGCCAGCTTCCACAATAGGTGGAAGAACAAGATGGCACCGCACCAAGTCCAGTCCCCTAAACGTCCCAGCGTCCGCAGCAAACAAATCGGTAACTTGGGGCTTGCAGCATTCTTTAGGTGTTCATTGGTTTTCCTGAAGTTCCGCGTCAAATTATTGTGACCTCACGCGCTCGCGCACTGAGCTGCCTCCATTCTGGAATGGCGCGACAGCGGGAAGTGACTCGTCTTTTCTGCCTGATTTGACCGGCTGCAATCACATTCAAAATAATACTCTCCCTACAGCGGACCGAAACTGATTAGAGCGCGCGTCAACGCCAAGTAAGATTGAATCGTTCAAAACTTAAAGTATGAACGCGGAACTTATGTCCAGATTTCCAATAAAAGCGCAACAACGACGACTCTACCGATGCCGTCTTTGCCAGCGTCCCAACTCAAGACATTCTTGACCCATACTCGCATCATTCTCAAAGGAGGACGAGGAGGAAATCAGGACGTTATCAAAGGACTCACAAGCAGGCACTCGCTTAGCCGGTGCAGAACTGGAGGTCAGAGGTAAGCGGTAAGTGCGACGGGACCATGGCCTAACGGCGAATTTCTTAGGAGGTGGGAGGGGGCTTGATCTGGTGGCAATGTAGGGATCGAAAGTGAAGCAACAATGAAAAAAAAGAATATTCAAAACGTTTCTCATTTGTCATAGGATCGTGAAGGTTCACCTGGGCTCTCAACCAGCAGAGTACACTATTTGGTGTGATGAATCGTAATAGCATCTCATTGTAATTGCTGATTGTTGTCTCCAGAATTGCGAGGCGAGCCGACGTCAGAACAAAATCGTCATTAGATGTGATCGCGCCTGGAAGATCGGTCAGAAATCAGTAAAACATTGCACTCGAAGGAGAAAGTGAACTGGAGTCGCCAATTTCCCACATCAAAAATGATCCCGAAATAACGTGAGCCAGAATAATCCACGCTGCCGCGTCAAGGGTTCGACCAACTGGTTTCTACTCTCTGGCTAATTCACTCTACATGTAACACTGCCGCAATAAATCAGTCGTTTAGGGTCATTTACGTTATGGTGCGAATGCCGCGCACGTGACGCCCTCACCGAAACCTCGAACCTTCCGACCATCCCTCGAAATGTCTTGGACAATTGTCAGTATCCATGTCAGTCGCAAAAAAATCAGGTTCCCGAGAAGTTCACCTTGGGTGGACCAGCGACTAACACATTGAAGTAGACTTACCTGGATAGCCGCTGAAAGAGTAGCTTTTTCCAGGATCCCCTGTGGCAAACGTGTATCGTTTTTGCATGCGTAACATGGTCGAATATGATGACCATGTGACATGGGAGAAGTAGATATCCGAGAAGTCAGGAAGCAGCTGAATAAGAACTGAGTTGGAACCGAGCACTGTACCATCTTCAAACAACAAATAAATGTAAGCAGATTTTACTCCACATCCCGGAGATGTACAGGGTGTAACTGCGTACTTCATCTGAACATGGTTCAGGATGCGTTTTCGTGGCATTTTTTCCCGAGACAACTGTAGTCCTATCTCGTACTGGACAAAGTCATGATTACAAGTGTACCAAAGCGAAAAGCACCCCATCAGAAGTGCAGTCGCCCAGCATTTCAATGAAGTACGCAACCACGCCCCCTCCATCTTCGGGAATGGAATGTACTCAAAGGAGTTCCCTAGGAAAAGAAGATTTGAGGAGAGTTCCTTTTTATCCAAAATATAGACAAAACCATATCACGACGTCTAGAATGGGTGTGTCCATGGACTCAGATGCGGGGCCGACGGTGGTGGACAGTTGCTGCTCAGTTGGAGAAGGGTCCACGGACTACCTGGAGCTGATATCTATATTCGAAGACAGCGTGTGTATGAGACGGTGCAGCTGGCACAGGAAATGTTGACTCATCTTTTACCCCTTGCTACCTGGCAAGAGTCCCCGAAATGCAGTCGCCGCTCCTCCGCGAGTTATTCCGCGGACACGCCCTTTTCAAGCTTGCCGTTATGAAACTACACTTTGAATGTCTGCCTTTGATTGCAATGAACTCTCAAATAGTTCAATCGATAGCTGCTTAATCATGACCATCGTGACAAACTGGTCATCCTAAAATTTTCACTTTTCCTACAAATCACAGGGACATATGACTGCCTCGCGACCGCACGCAACCGTATCACAGTAGTCGCACAACCGCACACAACCACAGGGTCTTTCGCTTAAGGTGCAGCAAATTGCTCTTTATCAAAAAATCACCGGTTGCTCTCCCGGTCCTTTTTCCTTTTTTTATGCATTTTCGGATTTCATCTGATCACTGCATTTGTCAATAAAAAAACTCAGGCGCTGTTCGGCTTGAAAGGGGCATTTTGCGCTTTCGCTGGTTTCTTTTGCTATTCGTGTTATTCAACATGTTACATGTAGGTGAACCTGTAAAGTGCTGTGAAGCTGCGAAATGGTGTGAGTGAGCTATTTTGAATCGCAGGAATTTACAGGACTTCATGAGGTGGCCTGGACTAGCTTCGCTAGGTATCATAATGGTGCCCCCACCAAGCCGACCTGCGCCAAAACCCTTTCCAATTTTTCATCCATGAAATTTGTTGTACCCACCTTTACCAGTGCTGAGCAGTGGCCATTGCCGGCGAGAAGACTGCGTGGTGTCTCTGGTTTTCTGAACTTTGTTGACAAATCTTCGATGTCACCAGCTAGTTGGAGGAGGCTAAAATTGCTCAATTACTGTTAGAGCTGAATGTTTTCCAAAATATTATTGAGGCATAAAAACTAGTGGTTCCTTAAATGAAGTATAAACGTACTATAGAGGATGTGCGACGACTTCTTCCACTGACAGGATCCGACCCAGCTTTCCTTCATAGCCGTCAATCATTCCTAGTAGTTGGTTCAAGGTGATGTTCACCTGCAGATTAGTTGGATTTGACTTTAATGGCCAGTTTCATGGATCAATCCAATTTTTATTTCGAAAGTTCTCACGCCACTGTATTTGGGAGCCAAACCATCGTGGAAAGTGTCCAACGAGCTTGTACCTGATTGCTG